CCAGCCGTGGTACAAAAGCTGTATAGCTTCATTAGGGAAGTGTTGCACCCAAATGAACAAATCCTGCTGAGCATCAGGGCAGAGTGCCATGCTAGTGTTGCTAAAGAGCTCCCAGGACAGAGCTGGCTGGTACCCCTTTGGTCAAATCTGAGTGTGGGTTTTGGTCAAGTAGGCACCCGTCTGGTAGATGTTTCTACCCAGAAACACCCTGAAGTGACTATTTTAACAAAAGAAATAGGAAGACTTTCCCTTTCCCCACCAATTTAGGTTTAATTTTTAATTTCTGGGTGATGCTAAAATGGAACCTGAGAGAAATCCATCCTTTTGTGTATGCTCACTGTGAATTACTTAGGAATCTGTTATGATTCCTCTCATAGCAGGTATGTAGAAAGAGTTCTGCAGAGCTTGTATGGTTTTGACTTAGTTTACTTTTCTTAGCAAAAAAGGCAGATAAAAAATGAGGCAAACTAAGCCGTTCTATTTCTGATAAGTACTTTATGTAAGCTTCAAGTCAATTGTATTGTTCAAACATCTTAAAACAAACGTGATTTGGAAAGTTGGAAAGTTTCAGGATGAAGCACAGAGAAAAATAAAGCAGAGATATTTCTTTAATACTAGCTGTGCAAGAGGGAAAAACTGCTATTTTTAAGAGCTAGAAGCACCTGTCATTAAGTTGACTCTTAAAACTTGTTCTGTAACACATGTAAAAGCGTAGCAAGTTATAAAGCAGTTTTTCCATTATACATTTTTTCTGTAAAGAAAGAAATTCCACAAAATGGCTACTATGTGTTAATTGTAACCTATATTGCCAGCATTTCTTAATTGTAAGCCTTTGGTTGAAATGAGAAAAATAACAACTGCTTCTGGAGGAAAGAGCTATGAATCCTCTCCAACAAAAGAAATCACTGAATGATAGATAATTGTTCCAGAACTCATCTCAAGAGGTTATTCAGTCAGATGCTCTGAGGCAAGAAACCAAAGATATTCCTGGCATACGTTTGTTTTACCTCTTCTTTGCAACTTTCAGTGGTGGAGATTCTGTCACTGTTCAAGTCACTCAAGCTATGCCTGCCAGTAGAAAAAGGTGATAGTTTGGGGTGGGGTTTTTTTGGCATCACCTCCTCTCATACTTTCATGACCAATCTTAATTTTTCTAGTTCGATACAAGCCTGCTCTTTCTTACCCCATCCACAATAGTCATGGAGAACAACATTCCCTTCTTTGGAACTCCCTTCAACATGACTAGGCCAAGACTGTAACTTTGTTCCTGGAGAAAACCTCTCCAGTCTTTCATTTTTTCCTTCTAAATTAAGTTTTTCAAACCTCTGATTAATCTTTCTGCTCTGTCCTCTTGACTCTCTGAAATCAATTTATCTTTCTTGGAACATGATGGTCAAAACTGGATGTAATATTCCAGCTGAGCAGAGTGCAAGGGTGCTCCATCCTGTTATATACATGGTAACTTTATGGGAAAATCCTGTATGATATTTTCCTTTTTCCTAAGAGTGAATTTGTTGTCATGTGATCCGCACATCCTTTTGATGACAGCCTTGACAGTTGCTTGCTGTGTTATATTTAGACAGATGGTTCTTCTCTGAGTGTACAGCCTTACGTCTGTTCTTAATGGATTGCAGGGATATATTTTTGTGCAGACAACTTCCCAAATTTGCCAAGATTGTTCTGGATTGTAACCTTGTTTTCTAATAATTTTATTCAGTCCTCCACAAGTTAATGCTGGCTGCAGATACAGTAAAGAATATGTTGATTCTGTTTTCAAAAGTTATTGCTCAGTATTTTATATTGAGTAGACCAGACCTCTGTGGAATGTCCCTTACTTCAATCTTCTAGTTTGAAATTGATCCCTGGGTAACCAGAGTACAGTTTCCCAAGCAGTTTTTACCAACCATGTATTCCTTGTTCTGCCCTTTGAGAATTTTATGCAAGATCAAGTCAGAAGTCTTGGTGAAGCTGAGAAGCATGTCATCTACTGAATCTCAGCTTGGGTTCACAAATATTACTACTGCGAGTTGAAGTACATTTAAAGTGAATCCCACTTCATGTCAATAAGGTGCTTTTAATTTGTAAATATTTGTAATAGCAGAGATTGTCAAGACTCCACATGTGTCCTGGACTCACAGTCATGTTTCCATATGAAGATTTACAAAAGGAGTTATACCAGTCCTTCCTTCCCCCCATGTCAGCCTTAATGGTGGGACAGAACCCGAGGAGGATCCCATTAATGTTAGAGGGTTTGGCTAATTTCTTCAAAGGCTCTATATTCTTTCTTAGAGCCTCTCTGACTTGTCTAAATGGAAGATTTTTGTGGTCAGACATGACAGATTTGAAATGTGAAGGCTTTAAGCTCTAGTATGGTTTTTGGTGGACTTATTCCATTGACATGGACGCAGAAGAGGGTTTCTGTATAGGACACTGCCCAATACTGAGGTGATGCTCACTATGCTTTTGTCCTTTGCAAGGATGGAGAAGGTTCCTGTGCAGCATTTTATGGAGGTTGAGAAAAGCCTATTTGACTTCACTGTGGGACTTAAGATGTCTTCTGGCTTCGTCAAGCTAGAATATGAAACTGAGGGTGTTTTTCAGTAATTTGGAAAAGGCAGAAAATCTGTTACCTGGCATACCATATGGCTGCAGTTGGACGTCAGAGTAGAAGCTGGGAATGGGAATGTTGATCTACTGATAGGATAGTTATTCACATGGCACAAGTGTGTATATATACCCAAGACAGTAGATTTACACTTGGCACCATTTTTCAGACTGGGAGAGGTACCCCTTCCTGCCAAGTTGTTATGAACAGAAAGTGAGGCATGAGACACCACATATTTTTCTGGAGTGTGAAAAGTTCTAAGCCTAACGAAGTGTAAGGTGGGCTGAAAACCGTGGAGAGTTCTGTGATGTAGTACTTTCAGAAATAAGGTGCGTGGCTCTAATTATTGACATGTATCAAATGTTAGAGTGCTGTTTACGTAAGAAAATTTAAATCTGATAGTAGTGTTGCTACAGAGTTGTTTTCTGTTTTTCACTCATGCTTGTCTTGAATGAATCCAGTCCATTTATCTTAAATTTTATCTAAAGCTTTAAAACATGTTGACACTTAAAATGTAGAATTAAAACTTGCCATATGCTTTAATTTTTTTAAAATTATGCTGAAATGTCTGTACCGCTCCTTTTTTTTCAGTTGCTAAGCAGTCTCATTTTCAGCTGTTTTTAAGTTGCTTTGCCTTTATCATGCCCATGGAATATACTCAACAGCCTAATTCAGAAATTTGAACTAAGCTGTGGTAGAATAAAAGCTATAAATCACCAGTCAATAGGTAATACATTTTATGAAATTAATAAAGTTTGTTGCCTTGCTCAACATATAATAGCTTGGAAGATACATGGATTGTGAGCTTCCAAAGTATTAGGGAGTACCTTTCCAAACTCCTGGTGAATTTTTGAGAAGGGATAATTTTATTTTCTCAGTAAACTTTTTCCACTTCCAAGAAAAGCAGTTTAGCCTATGATTTTATTGGTCAAATGGGGGACATTGATAGAATTTGTTGGTGAGCTTTAAAATCATTAGAACATAATGTTTCTACAATTGCAACAGCTTCAGAAGATTTTTTTCTTTTTTTCAATTAACAGAAGACTTCGACTGCTCTTTCACTCATAGCTGGGAAAAACTGAAGGATGAGTCAGATGCATGTAGGTTTTACCAGGAGTCTATAAGTTCTGTATCTAATGAATGCTGCTAAGAAGTCTACTGCCTATGGAAAATTAATTGTTAGTGAGGTGATGGAGTGCTGGTGCTTGTAATAAGACCTGTTTTGGAAATTAGGCAGGGGAAGAAGTACTGAGGTAGGAGTTACAGAACTGTAATCTAGATACTCAGTTGGTCTGAGCTGGTAAATGCCTGTGGATTCCACTGATGGTATTGACATTGGTCTCTCCACTGAAACACTGGAAACAACATTCATTGTAAGGCAAATTAAAATTCCCATGTTGATGTGCCAACTGAATTTTAAACCTATTCTGTCGCAAGTTAAACATGTAATTTGACTGGGCTTAACTTTCCTGACACAGGTTCTTGGTCAAGTTATTCACTAGTGTAGGCAGAGTAAGCAAGGATAAAATCAAAGAGCATTAATGACTGTGATAGCCATTAGCTGATATGAAGAAACTGTTCTCTTTAGACCAGTGGGGTGCTGGCTGCTCTAAACAGCTGAAGGAGAAACCCTCTCAACAAAAAGTCTTCGGAAATAAGTAGTGTTGTCAAATGTCATTTTGTGGCTGAGCTTTCCAATGCGTTCCTAAGGTAGTGCAGAAATAGGATTGAAATCTGTTGAAAACTTCTATTAAGAGATGTTTCTTTTTTATTTGCATATCCACTTTCTCTTACATCCTTTGATGTATTTTTATTAATTATTTAATCAATTTTCTTCCTGTCTAATTAATTTTTCTGAATTTTCCCTATTAATTTTTAGAGATTTTTAGGAGTTTTACTGTAAAGACTTTTTTCCCCTACTTCATTCTGTTAGGGTTTGTTGTTTTGGTTTTTTTTAATTCTTTTTTCTCCAGACATGGTTTTGTATCTGTTTCTAAATCAGTCTTCATTGTTAACATGATTTCTTTTTCACTCTTCCACCTACTCTTTTGGAATGAGGACAGAAACATAGGTCTTGTTCATCTTTGCTTTCCAAATGTATGTATGTATGTATGTGAGTAATTCTGCACAAAAAAATTTGCATGGTTTTGGGGAAGGAGGGACAGGGGGGAGATTGGGAATTGAAAGCATTAGTCAAGGCTCAGGCAGGGATTGTTGTGACTGTTCGACTGGTAATTATTTCTGAACTTTCTGAACTGCTTCAAAACATGATCACATTACACTGTGCGTCATTGTGAGAGGCAGAGAAATTTGTTTTTTCTAAATTCTTGCATCTCCTCAGAAAAATGCTTTGGTATTACATAATTGCCATTGTTCTTTTGCATGTTTTTCATAGCATCCTCCTGGGCAGTTGAGAAGGAAGTACAGTTCCTGCTCCACTATTTTCCTGGATGACAGCACAGTCAGTCAACCAAACCTCAAGTATACCATCAAATGGTGGGTTTTATATTTGTTTTTTCTTTTTTGCAAAAACCTACATACATATATGTATTTATGTATACATATTTCTGAACCATTACTAAGCAAGCTTCAAAGGTTTTAGTTTTTGAAGTAGTAAATGTATTTAATCCAGTCGTACCTCAGAGGCAGTGAATAGGATGAGCAAAGGGTATTACTCTTATTTTATGTCCATACAGAATCAACCCCCCAATACTGCACTTCTCAATAGAAAGCAGCAATTAAGCATCTCAGATTCCAGCAGCTAAAATCCTTGTGCTTCAACGTTCAACTGCGTACTTGCTTTGGATGACTCCTTAAAACTTACTTGGGTACTTGTTTATTCAGCTTTTCAGAATTATCTGAAATTGAAGAGCTCTTTTCTGTTCATGAGAAAATGCTCATTTGCTAAGCTTTTCTTCCAGTTTTCTATTTGAAATGGAAATTAATTGCCTCCAGATTAATTTCCTTACTGAGTACAAGGACACTGGCAGTTTGTTACACAGCAGTGAGGAGTTTTTTATGTGGTGTACATATGGGCTTACCCTTGGGTGACGTCTCAGATGATCATTTCAGGTTTCACTGGTGCCTTTTTATATTTTAAGAGAAATGAAATTGATATTTATAGAGTATTGTTCTTCACATTTTGTACAGTAAGGGGAAAAAATGAGAGAACAAATGCTCAGGCATTTTATGCTGTTTGCTTATTACGATCGCTAATAAACTCTCTTGAGTTGTTTGTAGGAAAGTTACCTTGGTGTACTCAAATGCAAAAACTTATTAATACAAAATCTGTGCATTAATACAAAATATTAAGAGACAAATATATTCAGACTAACACATCCAAAGGAGTTTGTAATGTTGGTAGTCACTAAAACATGTTCTTAATTTTTCTATTTAAGGAAAAAAGAGGGGAGTGGAGAAGGGATTTGCAGTCAGACTGACACCTAACACCTCAGCAGCTATTTCTGCCTGAAATACAGTCTTGCTTTTCCTCAGGTTTCTTTAATTAGTAACTTAAAAATAGGTCAGATGAACATAGGAAAAAAGTTTTTTGGTTTTGAGTTGTTTATTTTTTTTCCTCCTGGAGTCTCATACTTCTCTGCTCTAAAATCCTTTGCATGCAGATTTTTGCAAGCGCAGCCTTTTGGGTGGGTTTCAGGTCCCTTTTTGCATCCGAACTGAGGCTCTTCCTGGAAAGAAGAGCCGGGTTCAGGTGACCGCAGCAGCCGAGCGGCGTTTTCAGCGGGCCACGGTGGCCAGCAGCAGCCTCGTGAAAGGGGAGACGGAAGGGCAAGCTGGGGGCGAGGCGCGGGCAGCGCGCGGGGGCAGCGCCAGCCTGCCGGCGTGGCAAGGGTTGGAAGCTGCGAGGGGTCAGAGGGTTTGAAAAGGGGTTGTGTGGGGTGAGAAACTGGACTCTGGCACGTGAGGCCTCGGGGTGAGGAGTCTTCTCCTCCTCCTCCTCTCTGTGTCTGGCTGCACATTGAAGAGATTTAAGGGTGGGGAGACTGCAGGGTTATTGCTTTGGTAGTACAGCTTCGTTTCTTGCCCCCATCCTGGCAGTTTCTGCAGATAAATGGCTGTTGCATGTAGATAATCTATGAGGGACGTATTTTGGCCTGCTCGTTTATTTCTTTTGGGTCATGTTACGTGCTGGTGTGTTTAAAATATTCATGCATCTACTGGAGATCTGCAGCACGGGTGGGGTGGCCGGGGTAGGGTGATGGGAAGCTCCATAACCTTCTTCCCTGCACACTTGAGTGCAGGCTGAACCGGCGTATGAAAAGCAGAATGAAACTTGGTCTGAGTTAATCTATTACAGTTCTGAAAGACTTTCTGATTCTGATACGGATTTCTAAATAGTAAATATTTTCTAAACTTAATATGACATTTTGTTATAAAAGCAACCATATGGGCACCGAGCAGAGCTCTGCACATAGATTCCTGCATCTGCTTTCATAAAGTGAACCGGAGCTGCGTGTGTGTTTCTAGGGGCATAATTTAAAATTAAATTTTAGGAGTAATTCATTTTGTGAATAGCCTTCAGTCAAATTAAATTCATTCATAAACGTGTTTTTTGTGTTCAATGTGGACTGTGTCCTTTAAATGTCCGCAGCACACAGTATTTCTTCATTCCTTAAATATGTATCTATAGAAAAAATGAAATTTAAAAAGCATTTATGATCTAAAAACTTCTAATGCAGCCAGGTGAAGGCTGTAATGCTCATACAAAGTTAGTAAAATATACGTACTTTCAACTAAGAAAAAATACTTTCCACTACATGGCTGTTCAAAAAGAGCTCGACAACCAAACCTGAAATAATTGAAAATTCTACTGATGGGGTAGCTCCAACATCATGTTTTCCTAACAGGCAGTATGTCAATTTTCATGTAAAAATTCTGGAATAAAATTACAGCGCAACCAGTTGACCCTTTTAAAAGGCCTTTTATGGAAAGGAAAAGTGTGGTACTTTTGCATCAGTATAAGACATAAGCATCTTACAGTGAATCACTGACAAGACAAATTGTCAACAAACAGATTTGTTGAACTCCCTCCTCCTTCCCCTTTAGCTTTGACTGGGTTTTATGCTGCTGGAACAAGGAGGACGGGTGCTGGTTCTGCTTTATCCTTCAATAAAGCTCTATCATGAGTAAAGTATGTGTCCTTAGATAAAGCTGGAGTCAGTCGTGAGTTGGAAACTAGAGAATAACCATGAGTAGCCGTGTCTTAATTTTCTTCAGTCTCAAATGTGAATGAGATCAGTTAGTTGTGCAGGTGATTAAAATCTTAGCTTTCTGTGGATATAAGGACACTTTTTGTCTTTGCACAGAATATAAACAGAGGTACCTTGGTGTTTGGTTGAGAACATGGGAAATGCATAATGGGTTTAGGGAGTTGTCTTTCCTGACTTAAAATAAGTAACTTGATGCCATAAAACTGTAGGAGCCTGGTATTTGAGTCTGGTGTGTGAGTAACTACATAGAAAGACAGCCAAAAGTTAATGGATTTAAATATAACATCATAAGCCAATGGTGATTAAAACGTTTCATGTTAGCCTGGCAGCATTAGCAAACAATAAAAGAGAATGTCCCAATGCCTGCAATGCTTTATCTTCAACTTTGGAAGGCAGTAGGAGTTTTGTCATTGACTTTAGTGGAGTAGGGCGTTAAACGGAAGGTATGTGCAACTTGGTAATTCATTACTAGTGAAAAGGAGGCACTTGGAGTATGCTGAAAAAATATTATAAAATTGCCTGTTTACAGCAGTTTTCCTGGTATCTAACAGTGAACAGAAGAAAATAGGCTATTGAGCATACTGTTTGTCATGCGTTGTGCTAGGTTTTAAATTTGCATATTAATATGACAAATAATATAATTTGACGGTCCTGAGATGTTAACTCTGTATTTTTCTTTACAGTGTAGCTCTTGCAATATATTACCACATCAAAAACAGGTACGTGAATAATGAAAGCTCGTACTGAAGATATCTTTAATCAAAACAAATGAAGTGCCCAAACACTAAAAATCCATATTCTGTTTCTTTCAAAATGTTTTTGGGTAGTAGTTTTCTTATTTTCCATACTATAAATGAGAAACATATTCTTTTTTATTTTTATATGTATTATTTTCCTTAGAAAAACAAAAATTAGAGGATTATGCTATAAAAATCTGAAAGTACAGTTCAGCATTGAAAAACTTTGATGATTCAGTGTTTGGTTTTATGTGCACTGGGCACTTCTGCATTGTTGCATATGTTGCAATTACATATAGAGAAATCTGAATAGTGTCTTTCAGATTTATTTTTAGCTACACCTTTGTCAACTTAATTGTGTAAATCAGTGATCTGTTAATGGATTTTGAAGTAAAATTAGAGTGACATTATGAACAGATATGACTCAAGATGCCTCAGAACCAGAGCAGGTCCTGGCTTATCTCTTGTGGTGTAGTATGTTTTAGATCTCTGCTCAGTCAAGTTGGTTGAATTGAATAGAAAATAGGTTCTCTAAAAAGTAAATCAGTACATAAATTAGCTTTCTTTATGTTGAATTGTGCTTTTGTATCTTGAATTCCTTGCCCTCGTGATCTGTCACAGTATCATAAAATAATATTTCCTGACATTTATAAGGAGAGATTGTATAAATACTTGAAGTGACTTTTGTGTCCATGGCTTTTCAGTGTGTCGTTTTGGAGAACTTAGATCTTGATCTAACAAGCCGCTTACAGTTTTTTTTCTTCTGGACTGTAACAAGTCCGACTAGAATAAAAGGAATTGCTCATAAGTTTAAAGTTAAGCTGGTATGTCATTCAGGACCATGTTTCAGGTCACTGGAACCCATCATACTTTTTGAAACAAGGCTGACATGTAAAGAGAAACCTTTAGAAGTGCACAAGGGCAGAAAGGCTTAGAGCTTGATCCCTGCTGAAAGCTCTTAGAAGACTTTCCAAGACGACAGTGGGCCTTTGACTGAAACATGGCAATATGTGAAGCGAAAGTTGGAGTGAAAACTTTTTACAAACTTTTAATCTCATTTCCCAGGAAATTAGGCATTAGTGATCATGCTTGGATTACTTGTTTATCCATCTGTGGTTCCCTTTTTCCCCTTTCTTCCATCATTGCTGGGTTAGTTTGGTGAACTAGTCAATTTTTACTACTCTTGACTAAATAATAGCAATCTCAAAGATAATCAGACTCTAAAGTTTTGTGGAAATAAGTTATTCTTAAATGTTGTTAAGTATCATGCCAGCTGAGGAAAAGGCTTAGGAGAGTGGGGCACATTAGGGACTACAAAGGGTGAGAAACTTCAGCAAGAGCTCACAGTCGAGCAGGAGGAATCCAGAGCCTAAGTACACCAGACTCGCTCCGTACCGATTGCCGTGGAGCTGATTTCTGCCTGCAGTAAAATATGCCCATTCGTGGTCTTACAGAACTTGATGCAAATGTGATCTACAACAACCAGACAGAGAGGTTAAACCTTTATAAAATAGAGAGACCCCCGTCAGTGTCTTGAAAACGACTACATTCTGAGTGTTATCTCCTTGGGAAACTTGCTTTCTGTCCTTTCACTTGTGGGATGGAGAGGTGATTTATTCAGGAAGAACTGGTTGCTGCTTCTCCCTCCTGAGCCCACTCGGGGTGGGGAGCCCACGCAGGGCAAACGTGCCCTCTGCCGCACTCGGGACGGATGGTCTCAGCAGTGCTGCTGGAGCAGGCTCGCGTACGTCGGTTATTGACTCTGAAATGAAGGATGTGAAATGACTGTTCTGTCTTCAGTTGTCTCTGATTTAGGAACAACCTGGAGGGAGGGACCATGCGATAACAGCATTCAGTTGCACTTGCTGCTGAAACAGCAAGAGCAAAACACGTGTTCTCTTTCCTGCCATTATAGGCGAAAAGGAAGTTGTTGACGTATGTGGTATGGGGGAGTGGGGAGTAAGAATCCACCGTAATTCTTACATAGACTCAAGGTTGATTTTGACAGAAAATGAGTCAAGAACCTGCTTTGCCAGAGAAGAATTCTTTTCAGACAATATTTATTTATTCCTTTTATCCTGCACTGTAGGCTGAAAACTAAATTATTTCCTAAATATTCCAAACTCTCACCAATCCCAGTTTTTGTAGAAACTATACATGAAATGGAATATTCTTTCATATGTTTCCCACATTTCATTTGATTGTAACATTCTAGTTACCATTTCTTCTTTTCCCAGTGTCTCCTACCATTGTTCTGTTGATTGGCTTTTGTCGTGCTTAGCTGTTGAACAAGTGGTAACACCTACCTTTGTTTATGGAGGAATGCAAAATATTGGTGAATTTGCTAAATCAATAAATAAAATAAAATAAGCCCAAACAAACTAAACATTAAAATGCTTCAATAAATTAGTAAATGGTTCATTTTTTAAATATAACTGTGAATTTATTCTAATGAAGATGAAAACCTATCAACTCTTTTTTTGTGTGTGTGTGATATATTTTTTTTTGAGGGTAATCGAATATGCCTTTATAGCATGCAGCAGCTACAGCAGGAAGAAATAAAATTGGAAATTCTTTCTTTCTTCTTACTATGAAGGGCCACAGTTTGCTGTAGTGCATCAATGATTCCAGTGACACTACTTCTGCATTAAGAAACTAGCCTTTTTATGTAGGGGTAAAAGTGTCTGGCCTAAAATCCTTGCTCATTAGGAATTTTCTAGTTATTATCTCAATCTGTTTTTTTGCTTTAATTTAGGTACTCTTCCCCCCAACAGGAAATGTTTATTTCCTGTCTTAGCAGGTTTTATAACAGAAAAAATGTCACCTTCAAATGTTGAGGTTTAAATGTTAGCTGCTAATAAGTACATTTTGTAGACATGAATCTGCTGTAAAACTCGTGTTTGCATGCTCTGAGAGACACGTGCTGTTGAGTAAAGATAGAAAACATATTCCGTGGTTTCTCTCTTAAGAACTCTATGACCGGAGTACCAGGGATGCTCTAAATAAAGATGGGATTGTAATAAGTAGGTCACATGGATGCATCTGTCTAGAAAGTGTCCAGTTCTAACTGGTACTGTTACACCACTCGCTTTTGTGGTTGTTAGTGTCCGTGCCAAGATTACACGCAGCAAAAATCTTACATTGCATGCTGGATGTTAGGCTTGTGGAGGTTCATCAACGTGCATGCTGATCTTGAGCAACAGGGATCTGAGAGGGAAATAGCAAATAAAACCACTGAATAGGAATATTGTTTTGGCTGAATTTTTTTTGTATGTGCTCCTTTGTGCTTTCAGAAATCATTAGTAGGATAGGGTTTTCCAAATAAATTAAAAGTGAAGTATGTCTCTATTAACTAAACGATAACTAAAAATAGTGTTGCATATTTGTAAATATTCACTGTGTTGACAAAAAAGGAGGGGGGAGAATTAAGAGATTGCAAGGATTAACATGGTGAAGTTAAGAAAAGGAGGGTAAGCTCGTCTGATTTTATTGTAAGTTTATAGTAGTACCTCTTAGGTTGTGAAAAAGCCTCACAGTAGAGAGCACAAAAGCTGTGTATCTTTGTCATTGAAAGCTGAAAATTTTAGCATACTTTGTAATATGGATTTCATATGACACGTGAATCTTATGGCAGAACAGGTCCAACTTTTGTTTGAAAAATCACATTTCTGCAGTGTTTCTAAGCACCCCACAGCATGAGTAGTGGGGTTTTAACGATACACTTGTGTCTGAGAGCTGCGTGCTGTCGTGTTCAGATAATGACACTACTTTGGTTTTAATACTTTTTAGGGACACAGACGGAAGAATGCTCTTAGATATTTTTGACGAAAACCTTCATCCCCTTTCGGTAAGTTCATCTGCCTCTTCTTCCCTTTCATGTGAACTGTCTTTCTTTCTGTCTGCTTCGCTTTGTTTCAGTCACCTATTTGGAAGTATTTCTTCCGTAGAAATCCGAAGTGCCACCAGATTATGACAAACATGACCCGGAGCAGAAACAGATTTACCGCTTTGTTCGGACGTTGTTCAGTGCTGCTCAACTGACTGCTGAATGTGCCATTGTCACCCTGGTGAGTGTCTGAGAGATGCCATCACCCATCTAACAGACCCAGTTTTGTTCCCAAAGTTTATATGATTTAATAGATCTAGGTGCTGCCAGGGAATTTTTTCTCACCATGGAGACCAAGGGAATTTCCTGATGGGAAGAGATACTGCAATTCATTTTCTTGGGGAGAGTAAGTGATGGAAGAAGAGGTTGGGTAATGTGCGACACACAAGCCGGGCTTATGTCTTGCCCTCGCAGAATGATCATGTTACAGGCCACCAAGGGGACTAATAGAAAACACAGGTGGCATAAGTGGTCTGAACAGAGGGAATGTTAAAAGCTGAAAGGCTTCCACTTTTGGGGGGATTTGTAGCTCCCAGCAGAGACTCGGGAACAGCTGTAGGTAATTTAATAGCACTAATAAGAATTGATGGGCACGTGAAGGATTTGGTGAGTGACTGGGACATGTTGGTGATGGCTCTTTTTTATTTGCACTGTACTTGTCTTTCAGGACCACGTCATAGCATTGAACAATTGTACTCAAAGCTGAAGTTTAGCTACTTAAAAATAGCACAAGACAAAAGAGGGTTCAGATTTTCAGCTGGTGTGGATCAGCATAGCAATGTGGATTAAAGGAGCTAAAGTGATCTCCACCAGCTGAGAATTTCTTAATTTTCCTGAATTTTTTATCCTGCCAACTCTGACAGGCCTCTTCAACTTTCAGGCATGATTTTGGCCATGTTCTTGACTTGGAGATTTTAAAAGAACAAAATGGGTTTTTTTACCACTACAACATGTGGTTTCATAACAGCTTTGTTATACACTTTGGATGGAAGAAGGGGAAATTGGAGAAGGTGGATTTTGAAGCCCAGACCCACTCATTTCCTCTGTTAATCTCTCTCCCTTGGCTTCTAAGATTAGTTGGCAAGCTTTTCTTCTTCAGACAGTCAGAATGAATTGTACTAGCCAGTACAGAACAGGAATACGAGAGAAACAGGGCAAGAAACACCCTGCAGTGCTCTTCCCTTAGGTTTTGAAGTATTACTCTACCTAGTTACTTGACACAGCCTGTACTTGTTTTCTGAAATGACATTTTGTCTGTCTCTTTTACATAATGGCACTAAGTACTTGTCCTTCTCCCTTTTCTTCCAAAGTGTTTTCTGCTGAAGGCAAGATACGTTGTGTGAATCAGTATGTTCCTGTGTAATTTAATTAATCTACTGTCAAATACAGTGGAACCTTGTTGTAGTTATCTGTTGTTTGATCTTAGGTTACTTGATCAATGAGGGCACTATTTAGTAGAAAGGAAGAGGACTATTTTTAATAACAATATCTTCCTATTATTGCAGTGCATGGAAAGTTCTTCCCCACAAATCTTGTTAACTCGCATATATTTCAATATCTTTCTTTTGTAACTACTTCCTTTCCTCATATGGTTTGCATGTGGTTTCCCAGCAAGTAACTCTTTTGGTGTGATGTGCAGCGAAGTATATATGTTTTTAACTCATTTGTTATATTGCAGAGGCAGTTTCCATAGTTGTTATTGCTTGAAACCCTAGGTGGCTCGGGTTTTTTACCCAACAAAATGATAACAGATAAACTGTTTTAAAGCCTAGTTTTCAAAGCAGCCATGCAGACACTTGCAGACAGATTTGGTGCAGGTGATCAGCATTACTGTTCTGCTATTCTTGTCCATGTTTTCAGGGTAACAGCACCTGCCTGGCCCTGCTTTCCAGAAAGCCACAGAGTTTTTGGATAAATAGCATTTTACAAGTATGAAATTCTGCTGCTGCTGTTCTCAGTTTCCGCTGTACTTCTAGGCTCTATTTCTTTATTTGTTAGTGTCATCAGGAGGGGCCCCAGAGACAGATCGTTTGGTTTCTGAAACGTTCAAATGTGGAAATTAATCTGTTGAAAAGCTATCAGCCCTTCCCCACTCCCCACACTCCTGAAATCTTAGTAGTGTTGATGTTGCTATTTATGAAACCTCCAAGTGCTTTCAACTTTGCTGTCCTGTCTGGAGAAACGAAGAGCAGCATTCCCTGCTGGGGCTTATGTTTTGCCATAGTCTGGCCATCCGTGGGAGAGCAATCGGATAGCCCTGCGGCCACTTGTGCCTCCTGGGAGGGTTGCCAGGAGGCAGGAAGTGTATCTGGAGATCACAGTACATTTTGAACAAGATGCTACAACTATTATTTTTCTTTCACTTTTCTAATTATTTTTAAACAGTCCTAACCACCCCTTTTTACAGCCGAAATTATTAACGTGGTCTAAGGTGTGTGGTTGAATACACTTGCTGTTTGCCTTCTTACATGCCATTAGCCAGGCAGAAGCAGCGGTTATAATTGGTTTTATAGCAGTCTGTATGTTCAGCACAGGAGCTGAGTCAATGTGAAACTCCAGACTGTTAGATAAGATAGTCTCCAGCAAAAAGCCGGCGTTGTGTTGCTTCAAGCACTTAATTAAAATATTTCAATTAAAGCCTCCACTATTACAGCAAAAACCAATTTATAATTAAACAAAAAATTTAATTTTCACACAGCCTCCAGAGCTTTCAAGAGATTTCCCATACTGATAGGTGAAAAATTAAAATCTCGGGTTGAAACAATTAAGTACTAATCCACATTATTTATTTATAAAATAATACCATAAGGATAAAATCAGTTTTAGGTATTAATTGTGTTGCTGATTTAAATTCTTGAAAATAACGGTTTTTGTCCCGGTGTACAACTGAACTACACTCTGTGACCTGACTTCGTGAGAAAAATAGTGTGCGTGTGCTGTCAACCCACAGTATTCCCACCCTTGCTAAAACTGAGAAATGCCTGTCTCTTCACTGTCTGCTCAAGTGCAGAGGTGACAAGTTGTACTTAGGTTAATCTATTAATTGGATAGCAAATAAAAATGTGAGCAGGAGCGTTATCCATACCGACAGGAAAATAATACAGTGTTTGCATGGGAAATAAATATTTATGCTTTGTTCTTTTGTTCTGTAAGAACAAAACAAGCCTGCTAAGTAGACCTGAAGAGGAGAATGGTCCAAGTTTTCTGCTTTGCCTTGGCATGACTTTCTGAGTTTTGTGCAAATAGGCCAAATCTAAGGCTCCTATTATACTCCAGTGTCCATAGGAGTTTTGGGGAGGATACATCTTGCATTTGCAAATATGCCAGTCGGCAAATATGTTAGGTCTATATGCTATAGACTCATCAGATACAGTGCTATGTAAATACATACAATACATGAGCTGGATTATTTCTGTGAAGTTCAGGGGAGCATGGTTTTGAAATATGTTAGAAGGTTCATACTGTGACTGAGAGGATTTGATATTGGGAAATTTGAAATTTGAAGTATGTAAGAATAAATTCTCCTTATGCAAGATAGGGATTCAATTAATCCAGCCAGATGTTCCTGAGTGCTTGTTGTACTCTTCAGTCACATTTTCAGCAAATGGGTAGAGAGAGAATATTGTTGAACTGGGTTGTGAGAATTATAGTACTTGAGGAGAATTTTGGTTGCTGTGTGTTTGAAGGAAAGGAGAAAGCTTTTAACTGAATTCCTTTCACTGGGATATTTTTACTTTTAAATGCTGATAATATACATTTGGTTTTTCATATTTCAGTTGAGGTATCAAAAATCTGGTATTTGTTTAAAAGAAACACGGAAGTGATCAGAGTCCATAGAGACACTGGATCTGCAGCAGAGGTCCTTTTCAGCTGTCCCAGTATAACTACTGATCCTTAAGGAAGCTAATGGAAGGTGCAAGTTCCTCTGGTGGCCTTAGAGTACTATGCAAAGTACATTGCCTGATTTGAAAGCTGTCACTCTCTATCCCGTGACCGTAAGGGATCATGAGTGTGGTTGGGTGAGCAAGGCAAAGCACTGAAGCTGAGCACCACCTCATGTAAGAAATCCATGAGAATTGTCTGTATCCAGTATTGCTGGTGGCCACTTTTGTCCTGGGCTTCAAGCATTCCCTGGGAGGTGGACGAAACCCACCGCTTTGCCACATCTGAAGAAGGTCTCTCCACCTGTGCTGTGGATCCTGAGTCCCTTGGCAGCTGAGTGTGGGTCATGGTACACTCTGGAGAAGGGCAAGAGGAACCAGGGGCTTTGTGCCTGTGCTTTGGGCACTGGTGAGAGCAGAAGGCTTAGATTCTGGTCCCTGGTTTTAGGGCTGTTCTCATCTTTTCACTACAGTCTAATATACAACACATGCATCGTTATCGGTTAATACCTATATGTCTCTCAGTCAAGTCTTGCTTTAGGCCTATTGAGATACACGCTTTATAAAAAGAGAACATTGAAGCTGAGGTGGGGAAAGGATTATTTTTTTTAATCCCCTAGAGAAGAGGACATTCATTCAAAGAATGGGTGTCTGTTTTCTGATGCATCTTTAAGGGTTTCTGTGTGGGCAAAGAACGAATACTGATCCCAGTTTTAGACTGGAAAGTCAATCTTGTCTAATAGTCTGAGTGCATTTTATATGTATTATAGATCTTTGTCTTAAAATGAGTAAATTAGGAGGCAAACCTGGAGACGTGTGACTTTTGTCTAGTGCTCTCTATAAATATCTACAATGGTACTTTGCAGCAACTCACATTTTCAGAGTTTTGTGGCTGTATTTGTTACTCTTTTTTAACATTTGGTCTCAAAAATAAAAATTGGATGAATTTGTGAGGACCATGATGATATGATGTCCTTTTCCACCAAGTGGATGGCACCAGACCTTTGTGGAGCATTTTTAAATGCCCAGCTGGGCAATTGCAAAGCACAGTTATTTCTGGAGAGTTGTGGTAGGGAACTGGCTGATTGCTTAGAACAGAGCATATGGCAATTTAGTGATTGGATTAGAGCTGTAATGTGGCTATTTGGGACCCACTGCCAATTATAATTTTTTCCATGCAAATAATCTTTTTATTATTTCTGCAAGACATTGTGACACACTGAAGTTTTCTCATTAAAGAGAGGACTGTGTACTGCTTCATGATGTGTTGGGATGGAAACTATCTTCGTTAGTAATTCTG